AAACCAAATGGCGCGGAATAAAAACGGAAGAAAACAAAAAGGAAAAATGCAAAAAAAAAAAAAAAAAAAAAAAAAAAAAAAAAAAAAAAAAAAAAAGGAAAATATTCCTTCTCTATAGGCGTAAAAGAACGACAAAACTATATGGGGACTACCCTTGTGCCCCTTTGCGTGATTCCCTCACTTCCATTAGTTTAGCTTTAAAAAAAGGGAAGGTTCCATTCACACTAAATAATAATATGAAATTATAAAAAAAAAATAAAAACACGCAACTAAGTTACGTATCGTCAAAATGTGTGCTTTATCTGATGGCCATCTTGGAGGTGGAGGGGGTTGGTAAAACTACTCCTTCTTCCGGCGAACATACTCAGAGTCACATCTGAGGAATGTCCTTGCTCGCCCATCAATTCGCCTTAAGGATATATTTAACAAATGCACGACATATTTTTCAGAGGATCTTTGTACAGATTCTCATTATATCGTTTTTTTTCTCCTCTCAAATAATTGTGGCGTTTTGCAAATCCGTAGAGGCGCCATTCTCGACAGTTGTAAAATTTTTGTGTTGAGCTTTTTGCTCAGTCACGACTTCTTTTAAAAACATCTACCACGCAAGTACCCTTCGAATTACCCTTCAAAATTGATGTGGAAAATATTTTTCACAATTTGCTATTCCACACAGGGTTCATGCTGAGCTCGCACTTGTTCCTCATCGTTGTTGAAGTATTTTCTCTGCTATGTGGGTCCGTGAATTTCGTCTTTTTTTTTTTTACTTCTGTCCTTTAGCACGTCATAGTACAGCTGGTCCAAATATTTCCCTTTGCGTTTTCCCCCATTATGGGCCTTCTGCGGAAGGGCTACGCGTAACCGCGGTTTCGTGTGCGGCAGGTGTAGGTATTGTAGGTGCTGCTAAGTGTAGATGCCCGCTAACTGTAGGTGGTGCATTATGCTACACTTCGAATGATGAATTATGTGACACTTCTACTCCTTGCTAGGCGCCCGCTGCCCCATCATAAGCTTCTCTCTTCCCCAGGGCACGCCATTTGGTGTGTGCACATCTCTGTGTAATCCTTCTGTATACTATACACCCCTCCTCTGGGGGGGATTGCTTCGAGCTTTGTTCTCGCCATGTTCCATTACAGGGAGTTAGTAGCACAAGGAATTTTGATCAGTCGCTTAATGTTCCACTTTACTTGCCAATTTCTTCGCTACTTTACTCACCGCCTTTCCCACGGCCTTACCGGCACCCTTGCCCATCGCTTTACCGAGCGTTTTACCCAGCGATTTACTCCCGCCTTTACCCGTCCCTTGAGCATTTTTCATATGTCCTGGGGTTCTATGACCGTTGAAGCATCCCACAAGAACGGCATCCCCGTCATCGCCGAAATCCGATTCGCTCTCGGTCACACTATATAGGTCGCCCCCTGGCATATCTGCACCTGCTCCCTCTGCCTTGTTGATCCCACTTGTTAAATTTCCGTTGCACCTTCCCTCCGTGCTTTCCCACCCACCTTCGTTCAGTATGTTCAGGTGTTCTTTTATAGAATCAATTTCTCTCACAAACACTTCACTCTTGTCGTACGAACTCAACTTGTACAAAATTTCTAATCGCCTCTTTATCCTGGATAAAAATTTTTCATCCATTTTTTTTTTATTATTTTCTAAGCCTGTTTCTTCACCCAACACATAGCAGCAGGAGAGCAACATCAAAATGAAGTACAGCACGAAAATATTTTTCACCATTTTTGCACTTAGTAACCCCTGTTAGATGTGAACTGACAACAATGGCAAAGAACATGCGATAATTTTTAACTAGGGCGATTTTATATCAATCTAAAAATGTGTAAAATTAAAAAAAAAAAAAAAAATAATAATAAATATATAAAAAAAATTTCATTCTTTTTATATTCACCTGAACACATTTGTTGCATGCCTGTGTATGTCGATTTTCTAAAGTGAGCAAAGTATGGACTGGTTTTAAATCCACGCAAAGAATTCAAACTAATTTTTTGAGCATACGCTACGGGATTTTACAACGAAATATTTGGCTAGATGTTGTGAACTTCACCCCATCCACATCCTGTTCCCTCTCGAATGCCTAATGTTGATTGAACCTCCAGTGGTCAACATATGTGACATTTTTGATCCCTTCGCCCCGTTGGTCAAAATGCACGTTTTAACATGAGGTGCATGTAACGTTCTGCTAAATTATGTTAATCCTTTTTAGAAGGGGAGAGTATAATGAAAATTGGGCTACATGCCAAGAAGGTTTTGTGTTTTTTTTTTTTTTTTTTAATAATGCACATCATATAAAAGAGAGTTGTTAAAGTTCGGTGCTGCGCGTCGCCCATTTGCACCCACAACAGATAAAAAAAAAAATAAATAAATAACATGCACACAGGTGTATCGTATGCATAATGCGTATGCGCGCGTAAATACGAACTTGTAAATTAAAATTAAAAATTACAACAGTGAGAGAGAGAGTGCCTTTTTTGTGAAAGCAGGACAAAAAATGGCAAACTCTAAAATTGCCTTCATCCAACACTCCTATTTTTTTTTTTTTGTGTTTTTGAAATAGCTGGTCAGGCATAATATGCCAAATGAAGGCTAATTGTACATGGCGTAAAAAAAAAAAAAAAAAGTGCACAATGAGAATAAGTGCCCCCCCCCCCCACCCCCTGATGGTCATTCAATTTCATCTTTTGATTGTTGGTCACATGGGGAAGGGTGTAAGGAACTACACTGGTATCCCCCCGCCCTTTACACGCCCTTTTACGCATTGTCAAATGGTGTTCATCAAGCTAAAGGCATTCTTTAGCATATCCGAGTAGTTTGCTGTGTTGTTCATGCGTTCCTTACTTAAGTAGTTGTGCCTCTTGGCAAATCCATACAGCCCGTGTACCAGGTTCTCAAACTGGTCTTGAAATTTCTCGTCATCTAATACTTTTTTTAGAACTTCAATTATGGAAGTAGCAACTGGAGATTCCCCCTGTGTGCTGAATCCGACGTTAAATAGATTCTTCACAATTTCATATTCCACAGGGTTCATGCTCAGCTCGTACTTCTTCCTCAGTGTGTTGTATTTGCTGTGGTAAGGCGGCATGTGCATCTGGTTGGTACTTCCCGAGGTGCTTATAATCTCATCACACAGCTTATCCAAGTACATAATGTTCACATCGTTCAAGTCATCTGCTTGTTCTCCTGTTGTCGTGGTCTGGACTGCTTCTGTTGCAGATGGGCCCTCCGTTTGCTCAGCGTCAACGTGTGTTGTACGTGGGTCGCTGTCTTGTCCACTTTCCAATTGTTCACTTTGTGCCTGTGCTTCTGGAGGCTGCACGTCTGACCTTGCTACATTTGCTGGTACATTGATAGTTGGCGATGCTGCTTCTGTATCAGGTCCTGGTGCACTTTCAACTGAATGTTCTGATTGCTCAACAACTGCTTGCTCCACCGGCTCCTCCTCTTCTTTCTGCTCCTGATGTTGTTGTTGTTGTTGTTGTTGTTGTTGTTGTTGCTGCTGCTGCTGTTCCTGCTGCTCCCCCTCGTTCCCCTGCACTTCTACATTTTCTTCTTCGTGTGTTTCCAATTCCTCCTCTTCATGTGAATTTTCCGACGCGTCACCTCGCATAATTTCATTTAAGTTTTGCATTTTTTTCTTCAACGAGTTTAGCAAATTATGTTCGCCATTAAAAATACTGGGGGACCCATCTGGGCCGTCTGCACCCCATGCTGGACGTTGCGCCAGCAAGAAAAGGCAGATGAAGGAGGAGGAAAATAAATTAACTCTTATTTTCATCTTGTTGAACGGGAAATACACATGTGGACCGTGTGCTGTTTTTCCTTTAAGTTGATCGTTGTTAGGTTAAGAAAAATAAAATAAAAAAAATAAAAAAAACGCAAAAGGGGAATTGAAACAAAGCAGGTGCATCCACACAAATGTGTTTATAGCAACGGATAACAGAAAAATGTCAAAATTTTTTTTTTTTTTTTTTCACCATGCAGGTGTTCACATGTATATAAAAATCAGTTGTGTGTTTTTTTCCATTCGCATATCGTTTTACAACGCAACGAAGAAGCATTGCGTGGAGACGACAAATGTATTCGCGAAAAAATAATTTCAGCAAAACAGAGATGCCATATGATGATACCAACACCAACGTATGTGAAAAAAAAAAAAAAAAAATGTTAGTGAAATACCCCCGCATGCGCGACACTGAAACGTTGTAAAAATTAATTCCTCCGGAATTGTTCTCTTTGTTGTATGCACTTATTGTCTATTTTGATAAAAAAACAAAAAAAAAAAAAAAAGTTCATCCGCATATTTGTACTACACAATTTTATATGCATATAAATTTTTAAAATGGTGAAAAAAAAATTGAACAGAGTGAAGAAGGAATTCCGACAATCGACATTAACCGTCGGGTCCGGTGTGCAAAACTCAGCGAGGTGTTTATCCCACAGACAGATGGGAGCACAGGTGAAAAATCGTTTCTCAGAAAATGTGTACTCACAATATGTATGCAAAAAAAAAAAAAAAAAATACATAAATAAAATAAATAAAATAAATACATAAAATAATAAAAATAAAAATAAATAAAGTAAAAATTGAAATAAACTTCAACGTATCATTCCTTTCACCCTTGCACATCTCGATCGACTTGACAAAACATGTACAACTGTTCGAGAGACATCCCTTCACGATTAATTCGAATCGCCAATCTGTTCAACCGCACAACTGCGCATACATGTTGCTAAACCCAAAAAAAAAAAAAAAAAAAAAAAAAAAAAAAAAAATTCAATTTTAAAAATTAACAACAATTGGCAGTACTTCAAAGATATAGCGGACATACATCAAAAAGAAGGTTAGCCATAAAAACTGCTGATGACGAGATCACTTCATTTCAATCGTGTTCAGCAAATTTATAATATTGTTCAGAAGATCTTTGTACAGCTTTTCATTATCGTTTTTATCTGCTCTCAAGTAGTTGTGGCGTTTTGCAAATCCGTAGAGGCCATGCTGAAAATTGTCAAACTGTTTTTGTAACCCATTGTCATTCAACAGTTTTTTGAAGAACGCAATGGCGCCATTGCCATTTGAATTTCCCTCCTTGAAGAAGGCGTCAAACAGGTTTTTCACAATTTGGTACTCCTGCTCATTCATGGTAAACTCGTACTTCTTTCTAAAGTCATTATACTTGCTGTGGAAATCGGGGACGTGAATTCCGTTGTTCGAGTTTGTCGTTTTAAGTATTTCGTCGTACAGCTTGTCCAGGTACTTCACTTCCGGGGTGAGTCCATGTGGAGCATGTCCCTCATGACCGCCTACAGATGGTGCTGCATTTTGGTTTCCTGCTCCATGAGTAGCTGTGGAGGGTGCAATTCTACCTTGTTGTGGTGCTCCACCTGTGACAGTACCCTGACTTGATGGACTTGAAGTTTGTGTGCCTGTCGTGCTTGTTGTGCCTGCTGATGCTCCTGTATTAAGACTGGGACCACTTGAGGCTTGAGCACCCTGGGAAGTCTCATTTCCTGATGGCGCACTGCTAGCTGGATTACCCGTGGATTGCCCTGCCGTACCGGATGCTTGCCCCGAGGTTTCATCATTTCCGGTTATTTTCTTCTGATACTTACTTGACTGCCCCTTAATTTTTCCCTTGCTCTGTCCTGTGAAGTCCGCATCGTAGTTATCCAGGTCGTCTTCGTCCATTCCAAAAATGGTCTTCTTGGTGGACTCATCTGCGGCATCGCTCTCTAGGAGGTGACCTAGACTTTCCCCTTCGTTTACGCCCCCTTGTTGCTGC